TAATTCACTACTCAACAGTGCAGCGCAGTAGCTAGACACTGCAGGAAGTATCCTCATTATATGTATGTAGGACTTTCCATGTGAGCGTATTATTAAGGCAGAGTGGTACTAGTGATGATCTATTTTAGGGTCAGCTGACAGGTGGTGCCAATGACGGCCTGAATTGCTGTCTGCTTTACTTAATGTGTCATAATTTTTGCGTCAGCAGGCCATATTGCGGGAATGGGTCTTCGTCGAGCGAATGAAATTGCGTAATTACTCTATAAGTGGACGAGCTCATCTAAGTATAAATAATACAACTTTGATATGTGTGTAGTATTATCTCAATGACTACGATAAATTCTGGAGACGGAACGTACCAATACAATGTAACAATTTTCTCTTCCTCTGAAGTGAACGGAATGAATCCTCGAAACAAATTACATCTGAATGTTATCTCTAAGAGTTTACTGGATTTGTATTTTGGTCTGAGACTAGCAGATAAAAGTGGAGTATTAAAAGTAATAAAAGTAGCACGTTCCAGAATACTCTGCGACTATTGTTGGGGTAATATGGTATGCCTGATAGGGTTTAGAAGCTCCAGCAGAAACTTAAGGGGGAAAGAGCCAGAAAACCGAGAAAGTGACACAGCTTTGAAATGTTCGATAGATAAATGATAATCTTGGGTGAGAAATGATAATGATGGGCGCTGCAGGTATGATTGCATGAGAACATTTGTCCGCATTGCTGTTGAATGCTTTACAGTATCTTGAGCAGTTTAAGGCCATCTTTCATCGCTCATCTATGATTGGCCAAGAGGCGGGCCCATCGACAACGCCAACAAATGTCAGTGGCTTCACTGGGCGTGCAACGCGACCACTCTTACCTGTTTACATTCATTTTTGTTAATTTTTTTCCAAATTGCAGATTGAGAACAAGGAAGAGAGTGAGAGAAGTGAGTGAGAGGAAGAGAGTAGGAGTCAAATACTTGGAGGAGAAGCATGAGAGAAGTGAAGAGATAGTGGAAAAGCTGTAATTAATCGCACTGACACCTGTTCTGCCAATAGTACTGTTCTCCGTATGGGGATATATACCTTCTGTTCTTCCATGTTTTGCTTTCGAATGAAGCCTACACCAAAACTAGGATTCGATAGAGGGGTCTTGCGGTAGGCTTCACACATGCTTGGTACTTCTTTCCGGAACTATTGATTGTAACGTAATTGATGCAGCCCTCAGCGAGTTATTTTGTTTTTTGTTTTGAACTCTGATAAATTTTTCCTTTTGAGGATTTCGTTACAAAATGCATGGATTAGGTGAAGCTGGATCCTATGAAGCAGAAGCAGCACAAAACGAGCCTTCCTCGAAGGATGGTTAGGATTTTAGATTTTTTAAATATTGTTCTACATAGACATAGAATTATTTAATGGTCAGCAAGCGAGTAAGCGCAGGAACTGGACACATAGGTACGAATGGAGGGGCGGCAAGCCTTAAAATAACATGATTCAGAATGAAATCCAATTCTTACAGAAAACGAGACCAAAAATGTTTCTTATGCCGACATTACAAGCTAAAATTCGACTGATAATCAGGGAAACTAGGTGGCTACTGTTTTTTTCTTCTAATGCATGCTTTTAGCTATCAAGACATACCAGGTGGCTGGTGGTTGCACTTATCCGCGACTACCTGTTAACCTGAGCGCATCTGCCATATTTGCGCTTCACTAGTATTACTGCCATTAACGTTTTCTGTGGTGGCTAACCTTCATTTTAAAGCGGCTTTCTATTCCGTTGCACTGAATACGATGAAAACGATATTTGGTACCAGAAGTTTCACTGACATTTTTAGTGACTCGACCAAGAGATATTAACGCATGCTTATATTGCAGAGCCTTTAAATCGGTTATTCTTTAGCCAGCACTTTGTTCAGTGTTTGTATGGAATTAATGAATTATTCTGATAATAATCCATCATTCCAGAGAACTGCGTGTTATGCGTGTGCTCTCGTTGTGACGTGCCAATACGAGAGAGGTTCGTCCATCGAATTCTTGAGCGGTAAGTAATTGGAGCAAGGCAGATAATAACCACACCAAGTCCATTTTCTGTCTATTTGTTTCATTATTTTATTTTATAACACAGTCGTGTAAATACTCGATAAGAAAAATTTCAAAATTTCATGTAAGAAAAAACTTTGAAAGTTATCAGTACAATGTTCAAAAACTTCACTGCCTCCAAATTAGCGTACACCGAGCGTGCTCTATTTCTGGACGGGGATGTCAGCCGCACCCGTGCATAAGCCGCCCTTTCGCCTCGCACGCTAGAAACGCTTTGAAATTAAGGAAAAAAAATGTGTTTTTAGTTCCACAAAACTGAGTTTTCATTTTTTCACTGGGTAGTTTTGTGCTGTTGAACAGTTTTGATGAAATAGTCGCATTGATTACAGCTAATTGGGGGGTTAAGATTTTCAAAAAATCAATTTTAAAATGTGGCTGCATGAAAGATACGGAAAGAGCTGCCGCTGGATTGACAGTCTTCTTTGAGCTCTTCTCTGCGAACAGATTAGCACAACTTGCATCCTGCAAGTACTAGTGTCCCGAAACTTTGTGGTAACCCTTCGAGTGTGGTGCCAAATCGTCCTGTAATGACTACAAATTGCAGTAGTATGATTAATGCAAAGGATATTACGTGAAAAATTAACAGCCGACTTACTATTTGTCGCAAGCACTGTTTTCATATCCAAAATGGTGGCTAAAACCATCATTTTCGTCATGGTTCGCTAAATAAATCTCGGCTGTGTCACGACGTCGTTGAACCACACTTGAAATCTGCTGTGTGAGTAGGTCCCGACGCTATCCATCATAGTACGGCATCCAAATGGTACGATTGCTTTCGCTTTAATTGTGTTTCACCTGTAGGACAGGTATCTAGCTCGGAAGGCTGCATTGCCGGATTTCGTTTTCAAAACAGCGTTCTCCGATGGAGCCTTATTCGTAGATTAGTTTTAAAGACACATGGTACGCTCAAACACATTGAGGGTGTATGAGACTATCAGCCCCCAGCTGTCGATGTGTCGTGGTCCCCCGCCCAAACATGCCCAGGAATGGAGATACAGGACCGTGAAACACAGCTAATTCCTCCATGCTTCTGCCTTACACCATTTTTGCGGCGCAGATTTCCCGTCCTTCATAACATCCGTCGTAAGCGCGGGTGTCGCGTGCGGCTCCTTGGCACTTTTACCAAGTCCTTTTAATCGCACTTTCAAATACAGGTTAAACGCAATTTCCTTGATGCGGATAACATTGGAGGTGCTACAAAATAAGAACAGAAGATGATGACGAGGGCCAGAACTAAGAGAAACTCGGCTGCATCTGCAAGTATCCATCAGAGCGCGCGATCCACGAAAATGAGATAAAAAGAACCCAAGCGTCCCACTTGTTTCTAAGTATTTCTATGGCTTTGGCGCCGGATTCGCGCCAGATCGTAGTAATTTACAGGCGATTTTAACTAATTTGCCTTTCCTTGATTTTTTCATTTTTGTTTTGTTTACATTTACATCGTTGTGCTTCATTTCTAGCCTGTGTCATCTTCATCTCCTTGTACATGGATTTTGAAGCATGAGCAACACCTAAAATTTTATTCGCATCAGGAAATTGCGTTTTGCTTGTATCAAACTAACGAGTATGCCGTTTTTATTTTCATGTTTCGTGGAAATACGCGGCCTCCGAGGGATGTTGCAGAAGTGGCACAGTTGCTTTTAAGTTCTGACCCTCGTCATCATCTTCTGTTCTTATTTTGCAGCACCTCCAATGTTATCCGCATCAGGAAATGCGTTTTACTTGTATTTGGAAGCGCAATTGAAGATTTGGCACAAGCTGCCAAGGCGGCCGCAAGCGCACGCGCGGTATACGACGGAGGTTATGAAGCGACTCAGGAATCTGCTGCAAAAGTGTCAACGGCGGAGCTGGAGTAGCGTCGATCTTCACGGTCCTGTATCTCCATTCCTGGGCATGTTTGGGCGGGGGGACCACGACACATCGACAGCTGGGGGGCTGATAGTCTCATACACCCTCAATGTGTGTGAGCGTACTATGTGTCTTTTAAGGCATCTTGAGCATGCATTACTCGCTTTTTCTTGAAAACAACGAACAGTTTAGGTTTTCTCTCCCTGAATTCAAGCTGAATTAATCAATTTCTCATTAGCTGACAAACTCTCAATGAGTAACCCGTCTGCGTACATACCGTTTACAATGTCTCTTATTCAACTCTCGCGCAGATGCGAACTGTGTCCTGAACGGACGTTATGGAACGCGCGTGGCAATCAGAAAGCTCGTTGAGCCCGACCATTGATTCACTAAGGAGGTGAATGTGGAGAAGCATTTTGCTGAGCTTCACGACAGGAATTCTTCGTCTCCCTGCGCTACGATTACCAGGCATTTTGCTCCTGTATCAGAGCATGTTAGGTAGAAAATATTCCATCATTGCAGTATATCAGCAGCCAATCGGGAGGGCGGCAAAAAGTATGCTTGACATCGCATAAATGCGGTTTCCAAGCGGAAACTTGCAAGGTTCCCGGAGTGCTCATGTCCAGTTTTGTTCGTATAAGTCAACGTCACGGATTAATATATGTGTCCTTGCTGATTTTATATTGTTTTGTAGTTCAAAAAGTTGTATAAAAAACTAAGAAAGTCTGGAAAAACAGGAAAAGGTTCGAAATTTATACTAACTTTGGACATTTATTGAAAGCGGCTTACTCGTGGCTTTGAAAAATGAGTTCAGCTTTGCCATGCACTTATTTCTTTCTTGTAGTTGTTGAGAAAAGTGATGGGAATACTCCTTCATCACAAAACGCTTCGCTCAGCGATCATGTGATCATCCTTTACAAACTCACATTTCGATTCCATAAAGTTCACCAACTGATCCATATAAAGCTTTGTGAGGAAATTGCAGGTCATACCACACCAACTGCCTCAGGTGCTATGTCTGCCACGAAGCTCTCACTTCACTGTTCAGTGAATGGAAGATTCGCTTTTCTGCAAGGATCACTTCTACAAGTTTGATTTTCCACAGTGTTCAATTTGCAGATGATCCCACTGCACGCTTGAGGTGCTTAGCGGTCGCATACTAAAAAAAAGACGAGAGTTTTTTTCTTGCAATCGCACAGCCATTGGAAGTTGATTCTATCTATTATTGCATGATGTTCCTCAATAGCAGACAGACTCCGACAAGTTCTGATTCCAGACAGTTCGGTACAAAATGTACACGTTGCGGTGACGGTATTGTTCCAACTGTCAGCGTACGAAAGGCTTCAGTTTCCATTACTTCCTATCTGGTCAGAATTATGCTTAGGAGAGCACATCCAATTCATTTAATGCAGGCCATATCTACCATGTTGAATGCTTCCAATGTGTGTGTCTGTAAAAGGGAACTGGAAACTGGAGAGGAGTTCTATCTTATTCCGGATGACGGCCGTCTAGTATGCAAAAATGACTACGAACTCGCTAGAGACAGGTAAGCTAAACGGCCGGTCTGGCGGCGTAGCAGGCAAGAAATTTTTTTTTCCGGCGAGGAAGGTAATGTCCAACGGGAAAATTTAATTTCTTGCCAAGTACCTGCTTCGTCTTGCGAACGATTCGTAGTGAACTTCAACGTATAATAAGCAAAAATACCACTTTCCGGGTATTCCAAAATTGGGACGAGAATTGCACGCAGCCACTCATTACAGTGGAGCGCTCACCGGACGGTGGGGCGTTCCCTACGACCACGCCGGCGAGCGTTCCGCTGATTGCGTGTCGATGGAAAGCCGAGAAATTGTAGGAAATTATCATCATTGCCTCTCCGTCTCTGACACTGACTCTGCGCTCTAACACACCCCGCCGCGCCCTCTACTCACTCTTCCGTCCTGCACTCTCGCCGATCGATAATGGCTGACAGCTGCCATCAGACTGGATTCCTGCCGCATTTTCCTCGAATGTCGCTGCCTATTCAGCTCTGAAAAAGTTACGCCGTTTATTCGACTTTAGGCTTCAGTCGCTGAAGGTGAGCTATTTATTACTTAAAGCAGCATACCACATTTTGCCTGATGAATTTAGCTTGAAATTCTCCTAGAAAACATTTTTTTCTCCTTCTGATTTTCGCAATTCGTCCAAACTTTTCCTTATTGTCCCCACTTCTTTTATGTTATTGAACGGGTTTTCGAAGTAGTGTCTTAGATGTGATCTCGTTATTATCGAGAACCATCTCTGACTCTATTCTGAAGCTCGAAGTCGCCTGTGAAGAAAATGTGAAGAAGTGAAGATTCAGACGCGGAAAGAAGAATGTTTGTCTAGGGTTATTTTTAAGCTAAGAGTGAATGTGGCAAATTGGTGATACAATTTTAGTAAGGAATAGCTCCTTTAACGACAGGAAGCCGAGGGTGTGAAAATCTCAATTTTTTTAAAGCTGGACATTGTCGAGAAACAAGACAGCTGCGAAAGCGGCCCCGCAGATCGATTGTGGAGCAGACTATCGATCGGCGAGAGTCCAGCAACGGGAGAGTGGCGGTAGCGATTATGTGGGGGGGCCGGCGGCGCGCGTGTAGAGCGCAAGGAGGTCACTGCAGGAGGTGAGAGGGGGGCGCAGTTGATTGCCGCTTGTGCGCATCACACGCGCACTATCCGGGCCGTTAGCGGCAGCGGGGATTGGTCTTAGCGGGCCCCACGTCCGGCTGCTGGAGACACTGCAGCTAGTATTCGGCTTGCTCCAGCGCACTTTTCATTGACCTGCGTAGGGCCGAAGCCAGCGGTTCTGAGGAGCAAATGAGGATTCACTTGACGTTTGGTTGAGACCGTTCTGACGTGAATGCATAACTATAACTTGTCCAGATTCAAAAAAGTCGGACATAAACGATGCTGCAAAACTTTACATCTCCCCATTAAAGACAGCTCCCGCGATAAAAGTGTCATGGATAGTTGATGTTCAATTATGAAAGAAAACAGTAGCTGAGAAGTAATTCCCCAGAAAAGGAAAAAAAGCAGGAGGAGTCTCAAGAACACCATAAACAAAATCGCGCCCTGACAGTCACACCTTCTTGCGGTCCCTGTGCAAGCCCTGGCTCACAAATCACTTTATCACATCTCCCAGTAGTGGATGTCATCAAATGTGAAGAAAAGAAAACAAAAAACAACAAAAACAGATAGGAAGAACTCTTGAAAAGAAAAAGAAACATTCAAAATGCCGGCATCTGAACTTAGGGTTACGGTAGCTGTGAGCCGTCCATTTTGGACCTAATGCCGTTTGGACTCCAAGAATTTCGGCACCCAGCCCATTTGTAAATTGCCTAAGTCACCAAATCCGCCAAAAACTTGTATATAGGGGTAGTTTAACATCCTGATTAAGAATATGACATTCACTTTTGTCGCTGGCGTCAAGAGAGGACACTAGGATCACCTCCTAGGCTCAGCCTTAGCAGAGCGCAGATAATCGTAGTGTCATCCTTAGCGCCAGCGACAAGAGCGAATGACATATTCTTAATCAGGATGTTAAACTACGCCTATATACAAATTTTTAGCAGATCTTGCGTGACTTGGCGATTCAAAATGATGCTCGGTGCCGAAATTACTGGAGTCCAAACGGCATTAACCATATTTTAGTGCTGTGGAGTGAGTCGAGCTTTTGCACCACGAAAATTGGGTCGCTCGTGATTTTCACGCGTTTTATCTTTTGAAGATGTGTTGGAGTTGAACTGCATGTGCTCCTGATTAATAGAGATTTAACCAACAGTCGGTGTGTAATGTTGTTCTTGAAGTACGAGCGTGCGAAGGTTTAGGTTCAGGAGGCTCCGAGCAAGGAGAAAGGGAAATATATATTGTTGTGGATGGTTCTCATAATGTTCATCCTGCACAAGAAAAAAGGGTGGATGAAGTCAAGCGCTGAATGTCTGATCACAGAGCCTGGACCTTTGTCGAGTTTCCCCGCGAGACTGACATCCCTGCTGCAACTGCTGCCCGAGTTATGTCCGATAAACTGAGGATGGTCAAGTGGGTGTGCGCATGGGTACCTAATTTTCTTATAGGAGCACGAACGCAGTACCGATTCTATACCTCTAGCAGTAATGTTCTCAGCATGAGATGTCATTCACAACTGTGAAAACGCACCCCGGCCCTAGATGAAATATGGTCTTGGACCTCGAGCCGAAACTCACAATCTCAATTTTGTATCAATGCACATGAGGAGCCGCGCGAGTTCTTATCCGCAAGGTGGCTTTCAGGCAGCTTTATACAGAGAATAAAATCGTCGCTGTCGGTGTGTAACGCCTGTTCCTTGGGATTCAGATCGACAAATGGATGATACCACACAACTACAAGAAGGTCACCTTTGCTTGTCATGATGCCTGACCCAGTGGATGGGTAATTGTAGGCGGCTCGTGCTCGGACATAAACACTACTGAGACCTGGGTTCAATCGCCCTCATTCGCCCATCATAAAGCCGTGCAATTTCAACTGTTCTATTCAGTTGAGAGTACTCTCCGACGGCAGACGCTACAATGTTTTGTCATTTGCCGAAATTGGCAATAACAGCAATTTACCCACACTTGTTGAAAAATCGAAGGTACCAGAGGTCAAAGGCTTTCGGGGCACTGGGAGCAGTCATTGATGAAGGAAGGGTTTATATTACCTTTAACCTGAAATATTACTTCTTTGTATATTCTCCTCCTTTGCTTTATTCGAATAAAACCGTCGGCACTATTTTGAATGGATGACTTTAATATATCGGTCGCCGCACATCACGAATATGACATTAAATTTGAGAGACCACCGCCTGTCAGCGCTATGCTAGGGCTGAGCCTGGGAAGGAACAGCGATTCCTTTCTCGCCGGGCTGAGCCTTAGCCAAGCATACATGACCAGAGTGCCCTAGATTAGCGTTGGAAGCCAAAAATGAATGTCTTTTGTAACGATACCAAACAACCATTGTGTGCGGATTTATATCAATTTTTTTGCTAAAAGAGCTGGTGGCATTAAACGCCGCCAGCATGAAAAATGGATATCGTATTTGTGGTCAAGACCATCGGTTACCACCAAATACAAGTTCAGCCGTGAAAAATGTTGTTAAAAACCAGTGCACCAACGGTCACAAAAATGATGCATTGTTTCGTGTGATCAGGCACCAAATAACCTTTTACAGCGGAAGTTTTAGTTGGAATTCCTCTTTGAAGTGTTAATGATGTGGTAGCTGTGCAGATCCACCTACTCTGTGGTTCTATTGCTTCATTCCTTTCGATGATTTGAACAGAGGACTAGCAGGAAGTGGGGCGATCAAAAAAAGTCACTCCGACCGAGTCACATGGCAGCAAATGTTTCGCCAGCAGAGGAGAGGACGGTGGATACGGTGACCAGGGCGGAAGTAGCCAATTCCGCAAGATGTTCTCTCGATAAGCAGGAGCTGGCCGTTCGCTCAATGCACCTGTCATTTACCGCAAAATTATGAGGCCATCTCCAGGCTCGCAGCTTGACGTGGAGAAGACCGTTCGCCGCGTCGAGACATTAATCATGTCACTCCAAAGACAGCCTGCGAAAAATTCATAGTGTGGAGTCGCCCATGTAAGGTACCTACTGGAGACCAAGAGTACTCTCAATTCTTGGAAACGCGTCAAGCATCGAGCCAGTCGCTCGACAACGTCGCCACGGTTTAGGACATCATCTTCACCACAGTCGCAAGGCGCGGGTTGATGGTATGGACCGGACGCACCTGGAATGGAAAGACCAATATTTTCTTGCGTGCGACCCCGCGAGCCTAAAGCGAGCGCTTGAAATGGGTTACATCGACCAACTCAAGAAGAATATCTTCCCCACATGTCGTCGCCCCTACCTTCTTGGAAACTTTGTACTGCTACAGCATTGGGTGCCACCACGTGGGAATCAAAGGGCGTTGGAGAAACTCTCGCCTAGACTATGGGTGAAAGGGGCTGGGTACTAAAAAAGAATATCCAAGTAGGTCACCTGACCTGAATCCCCTCAATTACCCGGTTCGGGCGGAGTTCAATAGGGTGGTCTACGGTGGCGGAGAAATCGACTATCTCGCTGATCTCAGGCACCACATCGCGGTCGCGTGCCAGAATCTCTCGATGGCGCTCGTCCAGAAGGCTGTGGCGGAGTGTCATAATAGTATTTGATATGCTCTTTAAGATGGTGGTGGAATTGTCTCTGGCGTCAGATCGTATAAAGTGTAAACTTATAGCGCCTCGAAAGCTTAACTGAAGCAAGGTGACTTTTTTTTGCCCCCCGTAGTTATCTTAGGTCGCGTACGTTCTCTATTTCCCTTGAAAAAAAAACGCGTATTTCACTCTGAAGATACGACGTCATGCTTCATGTCGACGATTCAACTGAGCTTCCATTGTGATGTCTGGCGTTCCCATTATGACGCCTTTCTATGGCAGCATGAAATTGAGTTCAATTCCCTGCCGACGCCCAGAAGGCTTTTGCAGCGGCTGTCACGCATTCCTAATTCATGACTCATTAGGCTATAGCAAATAAGT